CTTAGCTTGCTGCCCTGCCCCCTCCTGTAGCTTTCCACCGCCCACTTGTAGCTCACTGCCCCACCTTCCTGCTGATCCGGTTGCTACGCAATTGGTCGTTATGTAACAGCCATTTGCATATTACATATTTAGTATATAGGATATCTCATCAATTTGACATAAAAATTTATATAAATTGGATTTATGTATTAATTTATGCGATTGGTCGTTATGTAACAGCCATTTGCATATTATATCTTTAGTATATAGGATATCTCATCAATTTGACATTATAAAAATTTATATAAATTGGATTTATGTATTAATTTAATATGACTTGCAATTGCCAAAAAATCTGTTAAATCTGTACTAATGAAAATGAAGATGTTTTAACATTTTTGGTGGTAGCATTTTTACAGGCCACAAGATAGGGAACCTTATTCTAGAAGAGTAGATCTTTTTGCTCTATAAACACTTTTCCACTTTCTAGAGCAAGAAGTGTTTTTTATCTAATCAATATGAATTTCAAAAGTGGAAACAGCAGTGGGCTTGGGATCACTTGGTATGGTTCTGATACCTGCATAGTGTGAGCGTGGGTATTGTAGGCTCTGTCTGTAAAAGGAGGAGGGAGTTGAGGACCCTTCTAACTATGACTCATTTTTTTGTGTCTGCAGTTTATTGTTTTGAGTCTAAAAGCATCATATGTAAAATCTTTGGTCTCTACTTTTTTCCATCTTCTTATGCCCCACACTTCTCACCTATCCCTGTATCTCCCCTCTTCCATCTGAAGATTTGCCACGTTATCTATAAGGTAGAGTGGAAGAATTATTTATCTTAGAAAATGGCATTTTATTATTAAAGTTTCCTTTGAAAGAAGAATGAATTTTGCTTTTATTTGCCTTTTTCAAAATAAATTTAATGGAAATATATATTCATGGAATGTTCTCCACCCCTAGTTTAGAATGTAGGAAAAAAGTAGGGTTCTTTTTTTAAAAAATTAAACATTGAAGTATTGCTTCTGAATTATGATCATAACTATACAAGAACAGAATGCTTTTGATGCTATGTGTTCTTTTTATTCTGCTAATTAGATTTCTCTGATTTTTGTGCTACCAAAGTACTTTGATATAACTTCTCTTGACATAACTCAGTATGTCTAGTTTATAAATTGTAAATGGCCTAAGGGAAATATAGGATTTTTTCAATATGACTTAGTAAGATAAAAATCTCATTTTTAAATCTTATGTTTGCCTGTAGCTAAGCTTCTTACTTTATAGCTATGACTTCCTGTGCCTTTTTCTTTCCTTTTACAGTTTGTGTCAAACCTTAGTTTCCACAGATATGTGTTATAAAGATCAAACAAATAATTTGCTTTATTTATATATAGTATTTTGAATTTTAGTTTTGTGCTCTAGAAACAACAGTTGCTAACTTCACAATATAGCTGTATATTTTAATGTATTTTTATAGAGCTAACTATTTAAGGGTGATATTTTGATGATACCTTCTCGTGAAAGAAGACTGCTAGATTTTATAAGATATTGTCTATATTTCTTACCAAAATGTTAAGCTGATATAACTGATCAAGGAACCAGTACTCAATCTGTTACTGTATGGATAAAAATATAAATCAAAGCCCAATTCACAAATTTGTTTATTGTTTGCTATTGCTTAATCTTTAGCTATTACAGGCATAAGTTTAAAAGTTGCTATATGTTGTGTTTATAATCTTTTTGAAATATCAGTAATCAACTCAGTAACCACATGAAATAATTTCTTATTTTATTACTAGAAACATTGAGACTGCAGATTTTGCTTTAATCCCCTTTGTCATGAAAAATAAGCTGTTGGAATACCTTGGACATTAGAAGTCACATCGAAAGCTTCTGACTCCATAACATGCTAAGCTTAGCAGTGTCTATTGCCTGGTGGGTGTAGGCCAGAGCTCCATCATAAATCAGACACAGAGCCCAGCAAATAGAGTAGGCTTTGCTTCTGAACTGAATGTGGTAGATTCTTTAGAATGGAGGCTTTTCTGGGACTGGCTTGAAGTTAGAATGGCCTCCCACTAGAGTCCTGGACCAGGACAGTTCTGGTTATTACCTTCCTACATTAATATCTACATGAGGAAAAATGACTATCCTATATAATAAAAAGCTAATATGCAAATTGTCCCCTCGACCTGGAGTTCCACCGGAAGTTTGATCAGGGGGCAGCTGTCGGCCAACTGCCCATGGCCACTCCCCCGCCACCCACTGGACCCACCCATGCACGAATTCATGCACCAGGCCTCTAGTTCCCATATGTATGTTAAACCAAAACACACATGATGGTAAAACTTGCCCAATAGTCTTAGATGACCTTCCTGTGACTTGCTTTTATGACCTCAGTTAAGTGAACTTAACTATCAACATAACATAACAATAACAATAACAATAACAATAAAGTAATACTGCTTTTATTTATTAGAATATAGGTGAATTTGTCATTGAATATTAGAGCAATAAAATTAAACTTCGTGTATTTTATGCACCCTCAGACAAATGCATAACATTTTATTTTCTTCTCCAAATTAACTTTAGATTCAAATGTACCAGCTGTCCAGACTCCTTCATGACTATCACAGAGAGCTCTACAATCACCTGGAAGAAAATGAAATCAGCCCCAGTCTTTATGCTGCCCCCTGGTTCCTCACATTGTTTGCCTCTCAATTTCCATTAGGATTTGTAGCCAGAGTTTTTGGTAAGAGATGCCTCTGAGCAAATGGAACAGTGCTATTTATTCCAAAGGAATATACTTCTAGCCAGTTGCTTTATCATGTGTGATACAGAATAGCAGATTGCTCGTAGAATTGAATAAACATGCCTGACTCTGTTCTGAGAGTAATTTGAAACCATATTGGTCTTAAATAAAATTGATATTACAAGGGAAAGAAGAAGAATCCGCTCCTGTATTTGAGAGAGCTGTATTGGGCCTTTACTTTCATTTGTACCTAATAATCAGAGTATACTTCTGGGCTGAGGGACCCTCTGGAGTGCACGACTTTGGTGCACTGGGCCTATAGTTAATATATAGTACTTTGAATTTCAGTTTTGTGCTCTGGAAACAACAGTTGCTGACTTCACAATATAGCTGGATATTTTAATGTATTTTTATAGCGCTAACTATTTAAGGATGATATTTTGATGATACCTTGTAGTAAGAAGAATAAACGTATGTTGTTTCCATCATATTTTTTGTTTTTATTTTATTTATTATTATTTTTTAAATCTTTATTGTTGAAAAATTTTTTGTTTTTAAATCTAGGTGATTTTGACCACTATTCTTTGGCAAAATATTTGGTGGTTTTGCTGCAGTAATTTAAAACAATAACCACAATAGAAAAAACACACAAAACTATTAACACCAATAGCATGCTATTTACAATAGTGGATGCATAATTTGATTATGAAAATTATCTCTTTTTTTAGATATTATTTTTCTTCAGGGAACTGAGGTTATATTTAAGGTTGCACTCAGCCTGCTGAACAGCCAAGAAACACTTATAATGGAATGTGAAAGCTTCGAAAATATTGTTGAGTTTCTTAAAAGCACGTTACCTGATATGAATACATCTGAAATGGAAAAAATTATCACCCAGGTATGCTTTACAACATGATAATAATAAGATAACAAGATTATAAAGCAATTTCCTCTACTAATTATATATTAAATGTTTTAGCATAAAGATGTAGTTTTGCTTGACAGATGGTTTTTATTTGATCAGCTATATTCTATTTAGAAGTGAAACATGAAATTTATGTATTATGACATTTTCTGTGTGACTATAACTGCCAATTTGTACTGCTTAATCTCTTCACCTTATCACTTTGAAATTTAAAACTTTTTAAACTACCTTTTACACATCTCCCTTTGCTTATATATACATATAAATATGTATATTTTTTACATAAGTGAAATTATACTATACATGCATAACTTAATTCTTAATTAAAATATCTGTAAAATATTAGACATTCTTTCATGCCAATAAATACAGCTCATACCATCATTTTTAATGATTGTACAGTAGTCCATTGTGTCCATACACACTAGTAAGGAAAGAGTGATACTTGTTTGAGAGGAATAATAAGATTGTCTAAAAATCTCATTTAAATTCTTAGATTTGAGTATATCTATACTAATAAAAGCCTTGGGGGTAATCAGGCCAGCAGGGGAGGGCAGTTGGGGGTGATCAGGCCGGCAGGGGAGCAGTTAGGCCTCAATGTAGTCCATTGTGTCCATACACACTAGTAAGGAAAGAGTGATACTTGTTTGAGAGGAATAATAAGATTGTCTAAAAATCTCATTTAAATTCTTAGATTTGAGTATATCTATACTAATAAAAGCCTTGGGGGTAATCAGGCCAGCAGGGGAGGGCAGTTGGGGGTGATCAGGCCGGCAGGGGAGCAGTTAGGCATCAATCAGGCCGGTAGGGGAGTGGTTAGGGGGCGATCAGGCTGGCAGACAGAGGGGTTAAGGGCAATTAGGCAGGCATACAGGCAAGCAGTTAGGAGCCAGCAGTCCTGGATTGTGAGGGGGATGTCCGACTGCCCCCGAGGGGTCCCAGATTGGAGAGGGTGCAGGCCGGGCTGAGGGACAGCCCCCTCTCCCCCGTGCACAAATTTTGTGCACTGGGCCACTAGTCTGATTATAAAATGATAAGTCCGATTCTTTGTGGGCTCTTTTTTCTCCACAATGTTAGTGTAGACACCAATGCTTAAGAGGCAGTGACTGCCTCACCTTCCCCCACATGTTTAGATTAAGGAGGGGTTACCTATCCTCTAACTGCTAAATAACCTGTCTTCCTATTTGGCAGCAATATGGGAGAGGGGAGGCAGCCCGATTAAACCCCGCAGCTCTGTGCAGTGCACAGGGTGTACAATTTTGAAGATTCTCTGTGTGATAGAATACATAGATGTCTCCTAAGAGGCTCACCATGGCTTAGCAAATGGATCAGAATGTGTAGTATACGATCTTTCTGCCCCATTGACAAATAATTAGAAGGGCTTTGGGTGTCATTATTATAGAAATACTCGATGCAATTTTGCTTACTGATCAGCACAGATGATCTCTAACATAGATAGGAGGTACTCGATAACTAATGTTGTTTTTCTGGTATGCTACATGTTGGGAGATAGTTACTAGATTGTGTGTATTTTGGTTACCAAATATCTTTGAACATTAACTTATTGTAATCTTGCCTTCATGATGACAATGTTTCATGTGTGTAGAAATAATGTATTTTTCCTTACATTGACATTCCTGCTGTGCCATACTATTCCTTATTAACAAGTATTTGGACATCTCTATGAAATACACCAGCTACACAGGCTGTATATAAGTATACATACTGAAGACCAGATTAACCCGTGGCGTTTTCATGGCAGGTTTTTGAGATGGACATTTCTAAACAGTTGCATGCCTATGAGGTGGAGTACCACGTGCTGCAGGATGAGTTGCAGGAATCGTCCTATGCCTGTGAGGACAGTGAGCCTGTGGAGAAGCTGGAGAGGGCCAACAACCAACTGAAAAGGCAAAACATGGACCTCCTAGAAAAACTGCAGGTAAAGAGATAAAGATTTGACCAAAAACAAACAAACAAACAAAACAAAACAGACAAACAAAAAAACCCCCACAAAAAACGCTTGAACGCCTCCTGCCTGTACAGAGCTATACCGGAATAATAGGGATGTGACATGGATTGAACCATTGCTGACGATGGGCCACAGTGTGTCAGACTATGTCCAAGTGCCCTGGGGCTACAAATGTACATACAAATTGAATTATCACTTGAGAGAGGAAATGTACACTCACAAAAGAGTTAAATGGCAACTCAAAGTATAATCTGGTTAACTACCCAATGGGTGTTGCACATACAGGGTGGAGCCAAAGTAGGCTTACAGTTGCTTGTATGGAAACCAATAAAATAAATAATAATACAAGAACAAACTCTGTGTTTTGTATACTCATAACTATAAACCTATTTTGACCCATCCTGTATTTGGTTAAATTCAAGGAAGGAGAGGTTACAGTGGGAAACTGGGAATGCTCTGTGGAACTTGGGGCTTGAGCCAACTCTGAATGGTTGGTGTTATTTTGACCCATATTGTATTTGGTTAAATTCAAGGAAGGAGAGGTTACATGTGGGAAACTGGGAATGCTCTATGGAACTTGGGGCTTGAGCCAACTCTGAATGGTTGGTGGAAGGAGCGAGGAGTGGAAGGGTTTGTATAAATAAGGAGGATGTGGCACAGCAGCAGAGTAAGCTTGGTGTCAGTTTATGGTTTCTGTTGAGGAGCGATGGGATAAACATGATGAAATTATAGATAACTCTCCGTGTGAAGCAGAAGAGCATGACTTTTATCCTGTTGAGAGGGAAACATTTTCCAAGTGTTTGAGCCATTGTTTTAGAAAGTGGTGCAGGTTAGAATGGGAAGAGAAGGCAGGAGACCATCTAGAAAACATTTGCACAAGTCTGATTGGAGATGATGAGAATTGTCTAGAGCAGCCGTGGGCAAACTATGGCCCGCGGGCCGGATCCGGCCCGTTTGAAATGAATAAAACTAAAAAAAAAAAGACCGTACCCTTTTATGTAATGATGTTTACTTTGAATTTATATTAGTTCACACAAACACTCCATCCATGCTTTTGTTCCGGCCCTCCGGTCCAGTTTAAGAACCCATTGTGGCCCTCGAGCCAAAAAGTTTGCCCACCCCTGGTCTAGAGTAAAACTCACAGAAATGGAAAGAACAGGAGACACCTTTGAGAAAATGGAATGAAAATGTGTAATGCATAATCCCTGCCATCAAGACGTTGATAATTACGAGGGAATACAAAATTATATATAATCTATACTAATAAAAGGGTAATATGCTAATTAGACCAGACATCTTCCGGGCATCCTTCCAGATATCCTCTGGACAAAGCCATGGTGGCAGGGGCCAAGGCAGAGGCAGTTAGGGGATCAGGCCGGCAGGGGCGGGCACTTAGTGGCGACCAGGCTGGCAGGGGAGGGCAGTTAGGGACGATCAGGCCAGCAGGGGAGCAGTTAGGGGCATTAGGTCGGCAGGCAGAGGTGGAAAGGGGCAATCAGGCAGGCAGGCAGGCGAGCAGTTAGGAGCCAGTGGTCCCAGATTGCGAGAGGGATGAGCGATTGCCAGTTTAGGCCCGATCCTGAGGGGTCCCAGATTGGAGAGTGTGCAGGTCGGGTTAAGGGACCCCCCCCACCATGCATGAATTTTGTGCACTGGGCCTCTAGAATATAATAAAAGGCTAATATGCAAATTGACTGAACAGCGGTCTCTATGACACGCACTGAACACCAGGGGGCAGATGCTCAACACAGGGGTTGCCCCCTGGTAGTCAGTGCACTATCACAGGGGTAGTGCCTCTCAGCCAGAATCCAGGCGCACAGCTGGTGAGCACAGCGGCGGTGGCGGGAGCCTCTCCCACCTCTGCGGCAGCACTAAGGATGTCCAAATGACGGCTTAGGCCCCGAGGGCTCCCAGACTACGAGAGGGTGCAGGCTGGGCTGAGGGATCCCCCTGAGTGCACTAATTTCATGCACCGGGCCTCTAGTTTATAAATAAACCGCAATGAGCAATTTAATGGAAAGTAAAGTTTCACATCTGCAATTATATAATGGTGCTGTGTATTCAAGCCCAGAGGGGTTGGGCTTAAGAGTATTCAGTGGAGGGGAGGCTATAGGGCACACCTTCTGGGGGCAGGGAGATGAGTACTGAGTTAGAGCTTCAGTGGCTAATGGCTCCTTACTTTCTGCTTATCACTCATTTCCCAACACTGTACCTGTTGCCAAACTAGAGACCACTGCAGTCTGCTTCTATTGGTGAACCTCTGGACCAACTAGGAGAGAACCAGCTCAGAAACAAGGGGATGCTAGCGTAACTGCTCCCCAAGAAGAGGAACACTAACTTCCTTTACTTCATCTTACGTTAGCTCTGGCCCATCGGAAATTTTATGCCTTTTCTTATTCAAAAAAAAGAGCCAACGTTGTTTGTTTTTGAAAAGAAAAATAAACAGTTGGGGTATTGTTCATGATTACATGGATATTTCAACGATAGTTAATTGAGTATGTCTACATGCATCTTGAGTCTGCTTAGGCATTACCGTAGACATGCCTGAGGAGAAAGCAAGGTTGAGGTGTGTTTGCACCTGCTTTATAGTATAATGATTTTCATTAATGGTTAACAAACTTTTTCATTGACAGTTCATGTTGTCATTGTGTCTGGGTTCCCAAGTTACCTGGGTACTGCTGACACCCATAAAAACTGATAGGATTCTAAGTGTGTTTAGAAAACCCTGCATGTCCATTTGGTAAAAAGTCCCTCTTAGCACCCCAAGGCAGTCAGGAATCTCCTGTTTCTCCATCAGATCTCACTCATTCTGGGGGAGCACCAATGTATGGAGTGAGGACCCTCTCCAACTTGGACTAATGACAATGTTGCAATTTTGGTGTGCTCAGTGAAATGAGATGTATTTTGTTAGTACCATAGTTATATTTTTTGAGAAACCTATGAAATCTCCATTTCATGAAAAGTTTCAGAGTATCTGCTTCACATACTATTTTATAAGTTACTAGAGGCCTGGTGCACGAATTCATGCATGGGTGGGGTCCCTCAGCCTGACCAGTGATCAGGGCCGTCTCGCCCAGTCCTGATCAGGGCCGTCTCGCCCAGTCCTGATCAGGGCCGATCGGGGCTGGTGGACCAGGGGGAGGGACTGCGGAGGTTGGCTGTGGGAGCACACTGACCACCAGGGAGCAGCTCCTGCATTGAGCATCTGCCCACTGGTGGTCCGTGCATGTTATAGCACCTGGTCGTTCGGTCGACTGGTGGTAATGGTCACTTAGGCTTTTAATTATATATAGATATGATAGGATTGCTTAATATACATAAGGTCTGGCTGCTGCTACAATGAAAAACCAGAGTCTTCACATTTTTTATTTGGAGGATTTTTATTTTATCTCTCCTCCCTTCTCCCTCACAACAGATAGCTCATGCTAAAATCCAGACCTTGGAATCCAACCTGGAAAATCTTTTGACCAGAGAGACCAAAATGAAGTCTTTAGTCCGGACGCTGGAGCAAGAGAAGATGGCTTATCAGAAGACAGTGGAGCAGATCCGGAAGCTGCTGCCTGCCGATGCCCTGGCCGACTGCGAGGCGCTGCTCAGAGACCTGACCTGCAACCCCAACCACAAAGCCAAGGCTGGGGGCAAGGCGTAGCCGGGGCTCGGAGGATGCTGCGGACAGTCTGTGAGCTGCGGGCTGCGCTGGGCAAGACACTGAGGGTGGACCGCGTCCTGGCTGAGCCCCAGCCCCAGCCCCAGCCCCCGCCAGTGGGCCTCACTCTCACCAGAGTTTGCCAACCCTAAGCCATTGGGCATAGGTGGACTAATTTCTGTTGTTGTAGACTATGTACATATAGAAAATGGACATCAAGAATTCACACTTCGGGACAAAAGGAGTCCATGTATATTTAGAGCAATTTTTAAAATCAAAACTTCATGAAATCCACACCAAAGGGAAGTTACGGTCAAGTTCCCCTTAGACACATGCGAAATCATCTCATCTTTGTAGTGAAACAAAGCTAGTGAATCTTTGTCTATTGAGATATACTTGAAAAAAATGAATGTATTTTTTTCTCCAAAGAACAGCATGTTTCACTCAGTGGTGTGTGTGTGTGGGGAAACATTTGTGACTTGATATGTGTCTATACCAGGAAGATGACTGATTGTCAGTCACGCTCCTGTGGTTTTTCCCAGGAAAATTTTCGGGGACCTTTCTCCCCAGCCTGCTTTGTGCCAACCGGCATGTTAGTCTACATGCATTTTGAGGCTGCTCGGGCAGCACCTTTGATGTGCCTGAAAAGGCAAGGCTGAGTCTACCCGCCCGGTTCACGGTGGAAGAGAACATTGCTAATTTTCTAGCAAATTAGACCAGCATTGTAACTCAAACTAAAAATATCAGGCCTCTGAGTTTTAACTTAGGACCTGAACAGTTTTCCCCCCTTTTTATTTAAATCACTCCCACATTTGTCTCCCCTTTACTTGGTGCCACAGTGGTGACAGGATTTGCCATTTCCCCACCAAAATGTGGGAGCTGTTACTTCTCTCTACCTTAAATGAAGGACAAGGAAACGCAATCATGGCTGGTTTGCTAAATGACAGGCTATGTTCAGACACTTTATTTGGACAATTGATAGAATGTAATCAGCTCACAATCATCTCTTCCTTCCATGTGAACATGTGTGGGAACCGTCAAACGTATAAAACAAGCTGATGAAGTGTGTTGGAAGGAAAGGGGAAAGCGCAGAAAGCCCATCTGAAACCCATACCCCTGCGTTGGGGCGCCCAGTTTTCTCAGCCACGGACGGTGTATTGCACGACGTTCTGGTATGGTAACAGAAAGCCCATCTGAAACCCATACCCCTGCACTGGGGCCACGGACGGTGTATTGCACGACGTTCTGGTATGGTAGGTGCTTGGAAGGGAAGCGATGTTTAAAGCACACAGGCAGTTCTCCGTTTCAGAGAAGATTCTGTGACGGTGCCTCTGGAAGTGGGTGCCTTTTTGCCTTTCCAAACAGCATTGATCATTACTGCTTTCTGCAGTACTAATATTATCACGGATGGTCTGGGATAATTCTCTTCGAAGGGAGTTTGGTATATACACAAGCTACACTATATCATAGAGTAGAAGAGTCAAGCTCTAAAGGTTTTGGACAACCTTGATGAGCAGATGAAAAGCCCCCTTCACACTGTTCCCCAGTATAATTGTACTGACTCCTGTTACCAATCAGCATAGCATGCTCCCTAATCCAGGCAGTTCCTTACAAGAAAATGAAAGCTTATTAGTCAAGGTAATGTAATTTCTAGGTTCTAGGAAATGCTGATTCTATATACCCCATTCAATTGGGGCCACCAACTGATTTGCTGCTCAATTTTCCCCAAAATGTCTCTACTTGTAGGAGAGATTTTTTTTTCCTATGAGGAATATGAAAAATAACCTTCTGTTACTTGCTGGTGATGAAAATTGCCTGATGTGTGTGAGAGCCAAGGAATCTTCAAGTTGGGAAGAGAAACTTTTGTTCAGTTTAAAGGAAATTTTATTCTGGATGTTCAGAGGCAGTGACATGAGTTGTATTATGGTGGTCAGAGACTGAGGTGTCTTGGATACACTATTTCTTTTGAAAATGGATTTCCTTTTCTTTTGTGATTTTGTAAACGTTGCATCAATTACGCTTCATGCATTGTTACATCTTCATCGTATCTGCATCGGGTGTATGTAATGTCTAGTTCATTTCCAATAAATACATCGCTTCCGTTTCCTTGGCTTACTTGTTTTACTTTTGTTTGTAATAGGAGAGAATTCTTTTTAATAGAATCAGAGACAACAAAGATAATTTTTAGAAACATTTGTGGAAGTACATTGCTGGTTACCAATTTTCAACTTCTTGTCCAATGGAGCCTTTGGCTGATGAAGATAGAAAGAAAAAGTCAACCACACTGACTGATTTGCATTCTACTCTTTTGTTGTCTATGCTCCTCATAAATAGCAAGGGAGAGAGAGAAAGTGCATTTTAAAAAATATTATTTTTATTGATTTTAGAGAAGGTAGAGGGAGAAGGGGAGAGCGATAGAAACATCAATGATGAGAGAGAATCATTGATCAGCTGCTTCCTGCATATCCCCTACTGGGGATCAAGCCTGCAACCCAGGCATGTGCCCTTGACTGGAATCGAACCTGGGACCCTTCAGTCCGCAGGCCGACGCTCAATCCACTGAGCCAAACCAGCTAGGGCAGTGGTCGGCAAACTGCGGCTTGGCAAACCGTGGCTCACGAGCCACACGTGGCTCTTTGGCCCCTTCAATGTGGCTCTTCCACAAAATACCGGCTCTTCCACAAAATAACGACTTCTGCGATTTCAATCACACTGTACGTGTGTGCCCACACGTGGTATTTTGTGGAAGAGCCACACTGAAGGGGCCAAAGAGCCGCATGTGGCTCACGAGCCGCAGTTTGCCAACCACGGAGCAAGGGCAAGAAAGTACATTTTTTGATTGTGTTAACTTCCAAATAAGAATTAAGGCACTTATTGATGGATATGATATGAATGTGTTTACATAAAATAAATGGGAGACATCTATAATAGTATCAATAATACAAATTATACATTAAAAACAAATATCTTCAGAGTATCCTCAAGTATGTTTGCAATCTATAAAAGGATAGTGTATCTTCTTGCTAATATTAGGACTAAAACTTTTAAATATTTTGCACTACATGTAGTAGTTAAACATTTTAAGTGTCAGCAAGAGAATCAATAGGGAGACAAGTGTGTGTGTGAGAGACTCGAGGGGGAAGGGAGGAGGGAGGAAGTGTGAAAGGCAGGAGGACAGGAACTGTTAGCCAGACTTGGGCATTCCTTCATGAACTATTCTTCAAAACACTCTACCTCTGTGGTGACTGATTCAGTCTATGGCAGCTTGTGAACCTGAGTTTTTCTAACAACAAAACTGGAGTTTTGTATGTACAACGAGGAAGACCACCTAAAACAAGGGGGTGTTTCCCAAAGGACCTTGTCTGAGAGCGATCACCCAGCAGGGACTGGCAGGAGGAGGGCAGCCCCAAAGGCCCTCTCACTCATTTTGGCTTTCTGATGACTACTCATCAACAGTCACCCCTAATCTCGGCAACAGAGATTTGTACTTGACTTCAAGTCGGGGGCAGCCACAGCATTGAGAGTGTGGCTGTTAAGAAATTAATTAAAACGTTCCAATTCTGTTGGGTTTAGTCTTTAAACTCTATGGAAGTACTTATAATCGGCCAGTTCCCTCTGGAGGGTTTACTCATGCGTTGGCCCCATGATTTTGGGCTTGTTTTCCCTTACGTGTATGTGCTGAATGATGAATGGGGAAATCTAATCTTGAAAAGGGTTGTGTCTATATTTTAAAAAGATTAATCAGTTTTAATATATAAAGTATATAGGGATTTATTGAATCATAGCTTGGTATATTGCTGAATTTGCCACTAGGTGGCACTATTGTTTTGATTTATCTTTACTTTCTTTGGAATTGGCTTCAAGGGACAGCAAAGTTACCTAAACAAATGTAGTTCACCATTCTGCTTTCAGGTAAAGTATCTCCAATATAGGAAAACCTGGCTTATTTAGAAATGCCTTTGGGTAAAGTATTTAAATCTCCCTTAGTAACATACTTAAAACTTAATTCTCTTTATTGTCAAGAAACTATTTTTTTAATCAAATCTATATTTTTAATACTGCTGGTTAAACACATTTCTTCTTCCTCTGTTCTCAACGGAGATGTAGAAAAACAGACAACCTTCTTATATATAAAAGTCTCTCATATATAGAAAACCCATATAAAATTACATCTTTTTTTCTTTAAGGCAAAAATAATATAGTTCCCTTTAAGTTTTCATCACATTTCTTCACCATTCATTCTGCCTAGTTTTTATTTATTTATTTTTTTATGAGTTCTGGAATCCAAAATACTCCAAGGACTTTGGATTTTTGTTCATGGCTGATTTGCTTGTTAGATTTCCAACATTTCATCAATACAATCTAACAATAGCTTCTTGGGTTCTTAGGCAAACACAGAGAATAAAGCTAATATTGGTTGAAGTCACCATGCTTCATCCTGATATTGATCATAGAGCGTAGAGTGGACAGGTGTTCATCAACTCTGACTTGTCCTGGCCAAACTGCCTTTGAAGGCACCATGCCCCTTCCCACCCCCAGACCTTGTTATTTCCTCTAGCGGGGGTGATGGCCACGTGCGCACCCTACACTCCTTCCTCTTGCCTCGTGTCCACACATCTTCACGTGCAGGTTGAAGGTCATTTCCTCAGGAGTCGTTCCATGAGCCTACCGCCCGGCTGCTGCTGCCTGTAGACCATGTCATGTATCCCAGCATAGTCTTCCTCAACACCTTACACTTCTCTTTTGTAGAACTTTGCACACATGTAGCAATTTAATTATTTGTGAACACTTGCTTAATGTCTGTTCGCCCCCATTAGACTATTAAGTTATTGATAAGGTCCATTTGTTTCCCCCTCCCCCCTCCAAAGAGCCCCAGCACTTGACTGGTTTGCATCAGGCACATAGTGGGAACTCAGTTGGCCTATTTTGACCAATGGACTAATTTCTAACTTATTTTGCATCCTTTCCTTTTCCAGAGATATAATGGTTCTCAGTAGGGCAATTACCAGGAATCAGGAGACAGACAGGAGCATAGCTTATCAAAACATCTGAGAGAAAAGTCAGGGATGTGAATGGGGAGGAAGAGAGTGATACACACCAGTTTGTTAAGGAAGGAAAAGCCAGATTTTAAAGTTGGTGCCATGGGCAATTCAAACTATTGATGGATCTTTAAAGAGGGAAATGGCGTGGTCAGATGGTTGCAATTCACCAGGAATGTTGTTTGGTTCATGAGGACAAAGACCATTTGTGCTGATAATCTTGACTTTAAGCCTGCTCTTCTTGGCTGGTTGTAATTTCATTTCCAGCTGTTATTTTGAAGGATATTTTACTGTGGTTTAGAAACCTTTCACACAAATGCAGATGACAACAGTGATGTCGATAATAACAACGCACA